TTTTAAAGTTCGGCCTATTTGGCAAGTTCGGCTTATTAAGCACGACATCTACACATATAGGTGAGTACACACACACGCACACACACACACCACACTGGTAGAGCAGAACAAGAAATTAGAGAGTGCAGCAGTTTGCAACAAGACTAGTCCCGGAGCTAAAGTGTATGGCCTATGAGGAGAGATTAAGGGAACTCAACCTCATGACACTGGAGGATTGGAGGGATAGGGAAAGGGCCATGATAACGACGTACAAAATACTGAGAATTGACAAGGTGAACAAGGCCAGAATGTTTCGGAGATGGGACACAGGAACAAGGGGACACAAAACTGGAAATTGAAAACTCAGATGAGCCACAGAAATGTTAGGAAGTATTTTTTCAGCGTTAGAGTTGCTAGAAACTGGAACAATGTGGAGAGTGATGTAGTGGAGGCAGGATCCATTCATAGATTTAAAAGAAGTACGAGAGAGATTGGACCTAGAAGCGACCAGCGAAGAGGCAAGGCCAGGAGCTATGAATCAACCCTTGCATACACAAATAAGTGAGTACACACACACACACACACACACACACGCACTGTGAGGTGGGCGCCTCAGGAACAGTACCGTCCATAGTTGTCTTGTTTAACTGGTCAATATTTTCCCCGCCCCTTCAAGACTGCGGCCAATATTTGTCAAGCTGTCAGTGACGGGGAAGTGGGCCTAAGTAGGCATTAAGTGGTTTTCCAAGTGGCATCAAGAGCCTGGAAGTAAGTAGTGCAGTAAGTGGCTTCAGGTACGAGGTTTCTGGCAAGTCTTTGCTATCACTTTTATTCACTTTTTTAATTTTATTTTATAACAAGAAAAAGACGTCATATATGAGTTATACAGCCTACAGAATTGTGTCCAAGATAACGTCATCTCTAGATCATCCAGGCTACAGAATTGTGTCCAGGATAACGTCATCTCTAGATCGTCCAGGCTACAGAATTGTGTCCAGGATAACGTCATCTCTAGATCGTCCAGGCTACAGAATTGTGTCCAAGATAGCGTCATCTCTAGATCGTCCAGGCTACAGAATTGTGTCCAAGATAGCGTCATCTCTAGATCGTCCAGGCTACAGAATTGTGTCCAAGATAACATCATCTCTTGATCGTCCAGGCTACAGAATTGTGTCGAAGATAGCGTCATCTCTAGATCGTCCAGGCTACAGAATTGTGTCCAAGATAGCGTCATCTCTAGATCGTCCAGGCTACAGAATTGTGTCCAAGATAACATCATCTCTTGATCGTCCAGGCTACAGAATTGTGTCCAAGATGGCGGACATGTAGCTCCCAGAATATCGTAAATAAAGTCGTGTGCAAATTCTTAGAAAATTCTGTTTTACATTGTTTTTAATGCGGATTTTCTTTCATCTGTGCTGATAAATGTGGTTTGTGTATCGTTGCTCACATACACCCAGCTATCGTATCTCATGTCGCTACTGAGTCATGATCGTTGATTTCCTGAGTGGGTTGAAATCTTAACTGTGGTGGTGTGCTGTAGGCTAGCAAGTGGCTTGACCAGATCACCATCTGACAGACACCCGTGTCAGTAGGTACTCGTCTTGTTTCCTGATAAACAAAACACCTTCACTACCTTAGTACATTATTATTATTATTATAATCAAGGGGGAAGCGCTAAACCCGGAGGATTATACAGCGCCTGGGGGGGGATGTGGAAGGCATTCAGGCTTAATTCGGGGAACTGGAGCACAGATCCAATTCCCTAAAGCAAGAGCCCCTCACCAGCATCAAGGAACCTTCCTTGAGGGGTACCTTAGTACATTATTCCTAACTTGTAAACACACACACTATCGATAAGTGCCTTTGACAAGTAATAACTCTGGTAAACATATGGTAATAATGATATAAAACATTCAGTGATGTTTTTTATGTTATCTTTAACATCATCTTTTATAAGAAAGATTTAATATATTTTTCTTGTTGGGAGACGTTAGTGTATGTATACTATACTTAGTAACTGGTACATATACAGCATGTACATCCATTTATCTAGTACGCCCACGTCTGTGTACGTATATAAGCGCCTACTTTCCTGGGCATATGTATGTATATATATATTATATATATATAATATATATATATATATATATATATTATATATATATATATATATATATATATATATATATGCAATAAGATCACAGTAAACAGGTGATTTCAAAATATGCAAAACAACCACTGTGAAAGAATAGAGAAGTTCCAAGCGTTTTCGTGACTACTCACATTATCAAGGAACAATGAAAGTAAAGCATCAAAGGAAGGTATATAAAGGGGTAGCCCACACCTCACTATCAGATCCCACAACAACGAAACACCTGACGTGAGACAGCAGGCCCGCCGGCCGAACTAGACAGGTCCTTCATACAACCCACCAACAACCTATTCTACCCAAGAAATAGGAAATTTAAAAAATTATTATTTGTCCAATGTATTATTAAATTCTTCCCAAATTCTATTAATTATAAATGGATCTAATTTATATAAACCAAAGGAAATATTCATAATATTCTCAAAACTGCTTTTTATGAAACAAGATTCAATTATATTCCTGTCGACCATGGACTTGCTTGATACTACTTTCTCAACTTTTTGAAATCAATTGGATGGTTAAATCTCTTACATGAATAAATAGAGCATTGGAATCTTGCCCAGTTCTAATGCTATATTTATGTTGTTTTAATCTTAGTTCGAGATTTTTACCAGTTTGACCGTAATAAACTTTATCGCAAATTTTACAAGGAATCTTATAGACAAATCCATCAGCATTTTGGGGGGAATTCTTTATCAAAGTTTTTTACTGTATCAAGATTTTTGAATACAACTTTAATATTAAAAGTCTTAAGAAGAGAAGGCATATCAACCAAGTTTTCATGGTAAGGGAAAACCCAACATTTTTTTAGTTGAAAAAGGGCTGGTTGTCCCTTTTTGGATTGTAAAAAGTATTTCTAGAAAACTTTAAAAGATTTATAATTTTTATTTTTTGGGGTATTTCAAATCATTACCTATTTCATAAATTTTGGATATTTTCCTCATCTATGAATTCTGGACTACAAATTGTAAAGCTCTCAAAACATTGATGAGAAAACCAGCAGTTTGACTCTATCTTGATGCGAGGAATAATAGTGGACATAGGAAACAGTTATTTGTAGGTTTTCTGTAAATTTTAAATTTGAATTCATTATTATCCTTAATAATTAAAACATCTAGAAAAGGCAACGAGTTATTTTCTTCAAACTCAACAGTAAAATTTATAGAATGGGCTAAGCTATTTAATTTGCCAAGGAAATGGTGTATATCTACATTTTGTGTGTGTGTGTGTACTCACCTAGTTGAGGTTGCGGGGGTCGAGTCCGAGCTCCTGGCCCCGCCTCTTCACTGATCGCTACTAGGTCACTCTCCCTGAACCGTGAGCTTTATCATACCTCTGCTTAAAGCTATGTATGGATCCTGCCTCCACTACATCGCTTCCCAAACTATTCCACTTACTGACTACTCTGTGGCTGAAGAAATACTTCCTAACATCCCTGTGATTCATCTGTGTCTTCAACTTCCAACTGTGTCCCCTTGTTACTGTGTCCAATCTCTGGAACATCCTGTCTTTGTCCACCTTGTCAATTCCTCTCAGTATTTTGTATGTCGTTATCATGTCCCCCCTATCTCTCCTGTCCCCCAGTGTCGTCAGGTTGATTTCCCTTAACCTCTCCTTGTAGGACATACCTCTTAGCTCTGGGACTAGTCTTGTTGCAAACCTTTGCACTTTCTCTAGTTTTTTTACGTGTTTGGCTAGGTGTGGGTTCCAAACTGGTGCCGCATACTCCAATATGGGCCTAACGTACACGGTGTACAGGGTCCTGAACGATTCCTGTGTGTGTGTGTGTGTGTGTGTGTGTGTGTGTGTGTGTGTGTGTGTGTGTGTGTGTGTGTGTGTGTGTGCACTATTCATACATACGTAGATACAGATACGTGCGTCTACTACGCAATGGCACCTGTGTAGTAGTATACACATGTGTGTGTTCATTTCCCTTACATCCCATGTGCATCAGTGTGCGTATATGCAAAAGCCTATAGATATTTACACTCTCAACCATTGTGAACACAGACCACCTTGATTGTCTCATATGGTCAGTCTGTGTGTGTTTGTGTTTGTGTGTGTGAGCACCTGTTTATAGTTACAGTAGTAGAACATTGTTGTTATATACTCATTCTTATTGGTTATATTGATGTCACCTTCAGTATTCAACTAACACCTGTGCGTCTCCTTATTGATAGTTCATTTTTTTTTTCTTACAAATGGTACACTCGCATTATGCTGCTCCCCTGATCTGTTTGACTTCAGTAGGTCGACGAGGATACCGTCAAACATTCTACTAAAAAAAACATTCTACTGTGAGTTTTGTTAGACTTCAGTAGGCCGATGAGGATACTGTCAGATATCCTACCGTGAGTTCAGTAGTTACAACAGCTCTGGAGGTATCGTTCCAGCAGGACTGATGTGTCTTGTACCTAGAGATAACCATTGTCAGTGCTTGGTAAACATGAGCAACGGCTGTCTCGTACTATCCAGGATATGCATATATGCAAGTGTTTGGGAGTATGCTTTCCTATGTTTCTGGGTCAAGCTCTAGTCCCTGGACCTCATGTCTCAAGTCTCGACCGGTAATCGTGTGATGGGATGCATCTCTAGCCCCTTGAGTTCTCTCGTGTTTACATTTGACTTCGTGTATGGAGTTCTCCTCCTCCCCCTCCTCCTCCTCCTCCCCCCCTCATTTAGTGCATGTACCTTCTTCACCGCCCTCACGCTCAACACATTCTTTGTTATATATCTTTAACTCACACTGGCTGTCAGTTTCCAGTGGTGACCTTTGTGCTGATTCCACCCCTTTCAAACAGTCAATTTTTTTTTATCCACTTCATCATGTGTGTTTGATCCTGTCTCCTCTGATATCTATCCTAATAGCTTAATCTCTGATCTCAAGGACTAGTCTGATTGTCAGTCTTTGGACCTTTACATTTTGATGTGATAGTGATTCTACGATGTTAGTAGATGCTCCAACTGGGACATCAAACACTGTGTCTTATCATGAATAAATCTTTCTTAAGGCTACTAAAATGCAATCATTTAGTTAGTAGTGTTGTATACGCCAGTGGCGTTATTCTATCTCTGTGAGCCTCTAGTTTCAAGTTGGATGTTGTGTCTACCTTTTGCTTGTGACTGTGACCATGACTGCCTGTTGTCTCCCGCTCAGTAATGTACTACTGCTTTTCCCCCTTCTTCCCATCCTAACTACGTTGAACTTGCTGAGTTTGAGTTTAGGTTGCCACTTATTAACAGTGTTCCAACAGTCACTTACTAGAGGGTTCTCACAGCAACTTAAGGGACACGTTATTTCCCCTGTCTTCTAATAACATGTTCATTTTTCCCCTATAATCTACCTTGTCCATAATTACTATCGTATTTACTTTTGGGTTCCTAAGGTAGATTATAGGGAAAAAATGAACATAGAGACAGGGAAACTCACGCTTCCTTAACACGCTGCAGAGGCCCAGGCAAACGTCAAGGTTTAGTTTAAGTTTAATATGTTTATTAAGCACCCCATACCCCCTCCTTGTGGGCGGTTAATCAAAGATTACAGAGGTACATAATGGGTCAGGGACTGGGCCTCAAAGTTTTGATAGCTGAGCAAATTACAGAGGTAATGAAATTTACAATTTACAAAGGTAATGAAACTCACAATTTACAAAGGTAATGAAACTCAGGTAGGTCTAGTCACAATCATGACAAGTTACAAAGGTATTTACAGATTACAGAGGTACACAGTGGTCAGGGGCCGGGCTCCAAAGTTTTGATGGCTGAACTAGGTCCCTAAAATGAA